CTTGGTTTTGGTTTATCCCATGAACACCACGAGTCTAGACTTGTACTTAGGGATCAGTAGCATTAGTTTGTGTGTGAGGGAGTGAAAGACCTGCTCAATATAAGCCATGCATTTGATTATGTGACAGTTGTGTCTTAAATGAACCTCAGCACCTGGTACAACATAGTTGTGCTTACCCTAAAAGAGAAAACATGAAAGAAATATATATATATATATTTATTTATATGAACCACTATAGTGGGGGGGGGGGTAAGTTGTGATTGAAAACCCCTTCCACCTCAAGTCTGTGGATAGTTAATACAATGTTAAACAAAAATCTACACACCAGTCAAGCCATAAGACTTGCTTTTCCCACAGAAATCACAAATTTGCAGTGATGTGGAAAAAGCAAGTCTTATTTATTTTTAAAATTGTATTAACTATATATATAATATATATATATATATATATATTGCTGCCCCTTAAAACACTCTTACATAGTTTACCACCAAATATGTTAAGATGTGGATATATACCATTTAGGGTTTTTTTTTTAATTCCGGGACTACTTTGTCTTGTGGTTGCCAACCACAATTTTTTATAATATTTTTGCAACCTTTATTATCAAATTTATAGGCACCCAGATCACTTCAGCCGATTAAAATGGTCTGGGTGCCAACTCCCATCACCCGTAACCCTGAGCATGTAATTATTGCAGTTTTTATAAAACATTGCCGCGCATGCGTTTTAGGTGTCCCCCGCCAGGGAGGAGCGTGGGCGGAGCTGAGCCAGTGCCGAGGGACATCGGCGCTGGACCCAGGTAGTGACAGAAGGGGTTATTAACCTTTTTTGCACCACAGGGGTGGGCCTTGACAGAGAGGGAGCTACAGTGCCAGGAAAACTTGTTTGTTTTCCTGGCACTATAGTTTCCCTTTAACGGTTTGCTATATTTTTGGACCAATTTTCCTTTCCTAATATTGTTATTTCATTAATGTATATTTATGGTTTTGTTTATTCTACTAGGATAAAATAAAATATTTTCTATATTCATCTTCCCATTTGGACTTTTGCAGTTCTATTTTTAATGTATGGTGCAGCTGACTTGTTTGACAGCACTGAGTTTTAAAAGTACCTAACAAGTCAGGCCTTCTTTAAAATAGCATTGATGAGGCTCATGTAATTTTCTTTTGTAATTCATTTGTTTCAAACAACACCGTGTTATAGTTAGTCAAGTATTCCCTTCTGTAAATGATTTCAAGAAAACATCTTGTTTTATTATTACCAGATTTAAATGGAGATATTGAATTGGGGCTTTTTTCCATTATATTATTAATATTATTATTATTTATATAGCACCCACTTATTCCGTGGCGCTTTACAATATTAGAAAGGTGGGAAATTTAATAATAAATGAGACAAACACAAAATGTTACAGGATCAATAGTTTGTTTGTAACATACAGGCTTTTTTTTTGTCAGGTTCATAAACTTGTTTTAATTAGTTGAACTTCTTGTATAATAAACATCTGCTCACTGCACATTTAAACAAGATGCTGCATGCACAGTACAACTGTATATCCGGGCCATTAACATATGGAGTTATTGACAAATTGTATTAGTATTCAGAAGAGTTTGGTGGTTCTCTGTTGCAGGGAGATAGTTTATTGCGTGAAGAGGAAATTGGTTGCAGTGAACACAGAAAATAAAAATAATAGGCTTAGGCCTAAGGTAGCCTGCATCACTGACAAGCAACTCCAATACATTTGGTTGAAAAGACACCAGAAATTCACAGTAATGAGTTCACAACTGTTTCCTCTTTAATAAAAGTAACTGCGGGGGGAAGCATAGATAATATATTATCTCCCCATTTTTGCCAATGTGATCCATATAACATAATACTGAAATGTTTATTTGAAGACTGCCTTTATTGTTCATGCTAGTAAAAAAACAGAGAGTGCTTGGAGTTTCCTGAATAAATATTGTAGAGTTTCAGAAACATAGAAACATAGAATGTGACGGCAGATAAGAACCATTCGGCCCATCTAGTCTGCACAATTTTTCAAAATACTTTTAATTAGTCCCAGGCCTTATCTGAAGTCTAGGATAGCATTATGCCTATCCCACACATGCTTAAAGTCCCTCACTGTGTTAACCTCTATCACTTCAGCTGGAAGGCTATTCCATGCATCCACTACCCTCCCAGTGAAGTTATTTTTAAACCTTTGCTGCTCTAATGTAAGACTATGTCCTCTTGTTGTGGTAGTTCTCCTTCTTTTAAATAAAGTCTCCTCCTTTACTGTGTTGATTCCCTTTATGTATTTAAATGTTTCTATCATATCCCCCCTGTCTCGTCTTTCCTCCAAGCTATACATGTTAAGTTCCTTTAACCTTTCCTGGCAAGTTTTATCCTGCAATCCATGAACCAGTTTAGTAGCCCTTCTCTGACTCTCTTTTAAGTATCAATATCCTTCTGGAGATACGGTCTCCAGTACTGTGTACAATACTCCAAGTGAGGTCTCACCAGTGTTCTGTACAATGGCTTGAGCACTCTTTCTACTGCTAATACCTCTCCCTATACAACCAAGCATTCTGCTAGCATTTCCAGCTGCTCTATTACCTTGTCTTCCTACCTTTAAGTCACCTGAAATAATTACTCCCAAATCTCCCTTTCCTCAGATGTTGAGGTTAGTAGGGTATCAAATATTCTGTACTCTGCCCTTTGGTTTTTACGTCCAAGGTGCATTATCTTGCACTTATCCACATTAAATGTCAGTTGCCAAAGCTCTGATTCTTTTTCTAATTTTTCTAAATCATTTTCCATTTGGCTTATCCTTCCTGGAACATCAACCCTGTTACATATCTTAGTATTATCAGCAAAAATACATGCCTTACCATCAAGACCTGCTGCAATATCACTAATAAAAATATTAAATAGAATGGGTCCAAGTACAGATCCCTGAGGTACCCCACTGGTGACAAGTCCAAGCTTCGAATATACTCAGTTGACTACAACCCTCTGTTGCCTGTCATTTAGCCACTGCCTTACCCATTCAACAATATTGGAATCCAAACTTAAATATTGCAGTTTATTGATGAGCCTTCTATGTGGGACAGTGTCAAAAGCCTTACTTAAATCTAGGTAAGCAATGTCTACTGCACCACCCTGATCTATGATTTTAGTTACCCATTCAAAAAAATCAAATAGATTAGTTTGGCATGATCTCCCTGAAGTAAACCTATGTTGTCTCTGATCTTGAAATCCATGTGATTTTAGATGTTCAACAATCCTATCCTTTAACATGGTTTCCATCACTTTCCCCACTACTGAAGTAAGGCTTACTGGCCTATAGTTGCCCGACTCCTCCCTACTACCTTTCTTGTGAATGGGTACAACATTCGCTAATTTCCAATCTTCTGGGACTTCTCCTGTTAACAATGATTGGTTAAATAAATCTGTTAATGGTTTTGCTAGTACACCACTAAGTTATTTTAATAACTTTGGGTGTATTGCATCTGGCCCCGTCGACTTTGGGTGTATTGCATCAGACCCTATTGCGTACGTTTGTATTGATCTACCAAGTTACAGAGGATGTGTGTTTTCGTGAGAGAGCTTGACGTTCTGTGGCTGACACTAATATGACCCAGTAGATGAGTACGGAATGATTAAACCATTAAACAGGATGCTTTGCTTCCCTGTAAAGCCATTCTATATCTCACTGGAAGGGTTTTTCTCGTTGCCATTGAAAATCACAGATACCCAATTAAGAAGTCATGGATTCTATTTGCACGATTAAAATCCAACTGTTGGCTGAAATTGAGATGGGTGGATTAACATCACCTAGCGCTATTCTGGAATACAGTGCTCATGATGCTTAGCCATCAGATTACTTTAATATGAGCTGTGTGTGCTGTATAAAACTTCCAGCTATAAAAAAATTGGTGAAAGTGAAACCTATATGCTCTCAACAACTATGTAGGAAATGGATTTTAATGCTCACTTTTTCAGATGACCAGGATATCATAGGGGAATGGTGGCAAGATGTTGCCAAGGGAAAGGAGAAGAAATTTGAGAAAGTGCTCTTAAGTAACAAGTGTAATTGAAATATGCTAATAATAGAGGTGATAAAGGCATAGTGGTCAACTTTTAAACATATTTGCAAAGTCCCATTACCACTACTCGGTGACAAATAGACTTGTCATTACTAGATATTTACTGTAGCAACAATTTGTCAACTACCAAACACATGATATGGCCAACATTCTAATACAGATAAAAAAAATAAAGATACAGATAAAACAATAAAATGTATGGGCATGACTAAAATTTATAAAAGTTTACAAAAGGCAGAGCTTCACTTTTAACTTTTGTCCAGTTCTTGGAGCCGTTGTGAGTAAAGTTTGTTGGTATCAGCCATCATCTCACTCACTGCAAGACATAGTCTATGCAACCTCTTGCAGATTCCTCCATGGATCTTTGTATTGCAACAACCTTGTAAATTACAGATCTGCTATAATTAATAGTTTAGAGGGATAATAGATCCACTATAAAAGTATTTTCTTTATAAACCCATTCAAATAATTACATGTTTTTTTTTTTTTGTTTGTTTGTTTTTATTTCCAAGCCTTGGTATAATATGACACATGGAATTATGGTATAACTTCAGGGAATGATGGAGATTGATTATACAATATGATTTGTAAAACATGCTTGCCATGCAGCTAATGTTAGATAAAGAAAATAAGGAGAAGGCAAAGATCAATTGGAAATAAATAATTTTAAATCCACTAGAAAAAAAACCCTTTTTTTTCCAGACATTTTTCTCAAATATCACAGGGTGATTTGTGAAACATATGCTGGGTAGAGATGTCGCGAACCGTCCGCGAACATCTCGCGAACGGTTTGCCGCGGTTCGCCACGAGCTGTTCGTGGCGAACTCCGGTCAGCTGACACGTCCCGGCCAATCTCCAGCAGACCCTCCCTCCCAGACCCTCCTACTTCCTGGACAGCATCCATCCGGTCAGCTGACACGTCCCGGCCAATCTCCAGCAGACCCTCCCTCCCAGACCCTCCTACTTCCTGGACAGCATCCATGTTTCAACATGGATGCTGTCCAGGAAGTAGGAGGGTCTGGGAGGGAGGGTCTGCTGGAGATTGGCCGGGACGTGTCAGCTGACCTGAGTTCGCCGCGAACAGCTCGTGGCGAACCGTTCGCGAGATGTTCGCTGACGGTTCGCGACATCTCTAATGCTGGGCTGAAAGGTCGTGCTCTTTCAGGGACCAGGTCATAACCTTGGCTCCATTTTATTCCAATACTGAAAGACGTTAAGGAACAGATGTCACTAACTCTGCAGCCCTGGGAGTGTAGACTTGAACTCGTGTAAGAAACATATCTAGTAATAGAAAAAAGGGGTATAAGGGCTAAGGGGTATAGAGCTCAAAATAGCTTGCTGGGCTGGGGATATCCAAGATAAAAAAGTTGGGAAGAAACTGTATTAGGATACATAAAATTAATAGCAATGAAAATAACCTAGAGATCTTCAAATGCTAGTGGATATGCCCCGAAAAGGAAATCCACTATAGAACCCGCTAACCTCACAATAGACTAAACCAGAGGGGAGGCAAAGAACAATGGATAAATATTGCAGCTAATACTAGTGAAGACTATGGCAACCTACATATACCCAAAGGTAGAGAATATTCCTAGATATTCTACAGGTAAAGTATAACAGCTAGTAACCATAATCCCTGCGACTACCTCGGTACACCATAAAACAGAGAATGTGCCTACATACCATAAAAAGGCAGATAGAGAGTCCGTAAAGAAAATGTATTAACAGGGAAAAAAGAGTGGTAGCAACAGATCATATAGCTGTATATACTCTTTGTATAATGGTAGACATAATCATAATGTATTACTGAGTAGCCCCTTCACATGAGGCAATACAGTGATTAAACTTGTAACGGACCGTTTTGCACACAAGGGGTAAAAACCGTTTAGGCGATCGGCCCCCTTTCCAGAGATCCAGGCACAGCTACTGCAGAACACCAAAACTCACGAACTGGATACAAAATAGCACTCCAACTCCCGAACTGGAACCTCCCAAATAGCTGCTAGCAGACGAACAGGAAAAGCAGACAATCAGCTTACACTCCTGGCAATCAGTCTCTAACAGCATACAGTGAATCCCCCCAAGAACGAGACAAGGCTCCGTGTTGAGGGTCAAGCAGTGGTCTGAGGTGCTGGCACACCCAGCCTGGTTTTTATTACAGTGTTTCAAATACAGGACCACCCACAGGGAGGGATAAAACAACCAATCATATCACAGTTACATCCCACATATTCCCTCCCCTTATCCTGAGAGGAAACTCAATTATACAAACAGTTAAAACATACTTTCTACCCAACTTTCATAACTCCAAAACCATACATCACATTCACATAAAATTACATATTCACAATCAATCCATTCAGGTTCAACATATTCAAAAATGGCAATCAGACAAGGGGTTCAAAAGTTAGTAAAAAGTCCTTTGTGACTAAATGAAGCATGGCTTTCTGGCCCAAACCAGTTTCAGAGTCTTCTATCCTGGAGATAAGTAATTCAATTATCTCCCAGGACAGACACAAGACTCCATTAAGCACATGGTTGCAAAAAGACACAAAACACTTTAAAATACATAAAGTCACATTTTTACATAACACACAGACATTTAACATATCCCCAGATAGCTCAGGTCTGAGCGCACATTATTAAGTGAATGGCGCTCGGACCACACAAATACAGTTTAATCGCCATGAAGCCAAAGTCTTTACAGTCAGTTTCATACGAATGGGCTCCATGGGATTCCTATCTGGGGTATAACACATTCAAACAAATCTACTGAACCCCAGGCAGAAAAGCACGAATATAGCTTTTCTGCAGGCAAAAATAAAGTCTTTTAAAAGGGGGCCATAGTCCAAAGGCAGCAGGCGAGCAACCAGGCTTCTCCAATGCAATGTGGCGAGATTGGTCTCGTCACAAAACTAAAATAAACAAAAAGATGATAAGTGCTCTCCATAATGCGTGAAATGTGAGGGAGTGAGAAATGAACACACACCTGACATGTTTTGGGGCTCTGATCGGCACCTTCGTCAAAGGCAAATGCAGATAACTAACCCTCAGTCAGAATTTTAAGCATCCCGTTGTACTAGGGCCTACAATTAAACAGAATGGTCATTTAGCAAGTGAGGGTGTAAGGCCACTCCTCATCCAATCAAGGGAAAGCTTCTCCTGGTATATGCCTCATGGCAAGCAAACTGGTCAAGGGAGGTACGCTAATCAGGATCTCCTCTCCTGAATCGAATCAATGCATCTCTATGGGGAGCGTTCAGCAGTGCATGGAGACACTTAACATAGGTACCAGGGGCGGGCTGGGCCGGGGGGCAGGGAGGCAATTGCCCCCCAGGCCGCCCTAAAATCTGTTGGGACCGGCCGCTGCAGGGCCGGCCCTTTAAATGCTGCAGCCGCCTGAGCACTCTGTGAAGAGCCTCAGGCGGCTGCGGCTGCTCCTCTCCTCCCCTCCCCTGTAGCGTGGCCGAGCTGCTTGCTGGT